CTGCATTTTCTCACTATAAGTGGCACATAAATGATGAGAACTCGTGGACACAAAGAGGGGGAACAATAGATACTGGAGCCTTCTTGAGGGTAGAGGGTAGGAAGAGGGAGAGGATCAGAAAAAATAACTATTGGGTACCAGGCTTGGTACCTGAATGATGAAATAATCTGTACAGCAAGCCCATGTGACATGAGTTTACCTGCATAACAAAGCTGCACATGAATTTCTGAATCTACAATAAAAGTTTTTTAAAAAGTAAATAAATAAAAACAATGGTGTCATGAAAAAGAAGTTAGCATCATTAAAAAAACAGCACCATAAAGATGTTTTCTCTGTTTCAGTTTAGAGTAAACTAGAGAAACATAACAACTACAAGCAATGTGCAATCCTTGATTGTATCCTACATTTAAAAAAAACAGCACAAAGAACATGCTCGGAACAACTGGGGACATTTGAATATGAAATATATATTAGATGATAGTACTGTATTCATGTTAAATTTCCTAAGTTTGATAATTTTATTGAGGTTATGAAGGAGACTGTCCCTGTTTGTAAGAGGTACATGTTGAGATATTTAGGAATGATATCAAAATGTCTGCATCTAACTATGCCAAAACAAAATGTTTACATATTATATAGGTTAGCTATTGTCACAGAATGCAGTGCAACAAAATACTTCAAAAAACAGTAGTTCAAAGCAACATTACTTCCCATTCATGCATCTTGGGGTCAGCAGATTTAGGCTGAGATCAGCCATGCTTCACTTCAATGTGCAGGTTATGTCCAGTACTGTTCCACGTGTCTTTCATAATTCTTTGATCAATAGGCTACCCAGAGAATGTTCTTATGAAGGTAGCAGAAGAGCAAATGGACAAGTCCAATTATGCAAGCACATTTCAATCCACAAACTTGCTTCACTCTGTGTATTAGTTTCCTTAGGGTTACCATAAGAAATGACTACAAATTTAGTGGCTTTAAACAGTGGAATTTTCTTTTCCCACAGTTCTGGAGACTAGAAGTCTGAAATCAAGATGTCAGCAGGGTTCCACATCCCCTGAAGGTATAGAGGAAGATCTGTTCTTAACTCTACCAAGCTTCTGGTAGTTGTGAGCAATCCTTGTAGCAGCATCAGTCCAACCTCTGTCTCGGTCATCATGTGGCCTTCTTCCTATGTGTGACTGTTAGTCTCCAAAATCTCTCTCCTCATAGGGACATCAGTCATTTGATTTGGGGCCCACCCTAATTCAGTATGACTTCATTTTGATTAGATTACATTCCCTAAGACTATGTTTCCAAATGAAGTCACATTTACACTGACCGGTGGTTAGGATTACAGCATATCTTTCTGAGGGAAGAATTCAACCCACAACACTCTTAACATCCCATTGAGCGCCAAAGTAACTCGTATGGCCAACTCCAAAGTCAAGAGGTAGGAACGTATATTAACCCCAATGTAAAGTCAAAGCATATTGTGCAGCTAAACTCAGCACCATTGGAGTGGAGAGGTATATATCTCCCATGAAAATTAAGGGAGAGATAACTATTTTAAAATAATAGATGCATGTATATAATAATGTATTATATAATATAGTAATAGATAAATATGAAAAAGAGGGTGCATAAATGTAGCAAAATTGATAAATCTAGGTGAAGTTTATATGGTCATTTATTATTATGTCTAATAAAAACAAATCTGGATTTAGGTAAGGAACAGCTTTATTCAAAAAAGACTATTTCAGGCCCTGTGACAACAGAAATCTTCAAATGTCTAAAAATCAGTTAAAAAATAGAAGGTGTAAGCAGGGCTAGCAGGACCTTTGTGTGGGAGCAGGGTAAGGGGGCAGGATGAGCAGATGGCATGATCAGGGCACTTTAACTGGAAATGTGATTTTTCCCTCCTGTGGTTGACCAATTCTCAGAATGAACAGTTAAGTGGGAGATGCTCTGCTTTTTAGAGGTTGCTCAAGATTTGCAGCCAGCTAAACTTCAGGGACTTGTGAGGAGAAGGGAAGCCCTTACTAAAGTTTAGTTAAGGTAAGTCAATGGGTACGTCATAAGTGATTACAAACACTCTTGTAACTCTTCCAAAACTCTAAAATATTCCAAAATAAGATTTTTAAAATTTAAAAGTTAGTACTCAGATACAGTTTTGAAGTGAATTTTTGTTTTCACAAAATTTATGATATCATACTGGCTGTGGATTGTCCCTCTTCCCAACATGTAGGTTTTGATCCCGCCTCTACAAGCTGTAGATTTAGTTTCTGGGCCCCCAATTCTACCTTCACCAGAAAGAATGCAGACTTAAAAAAATAAAACACCACCATGTTCAAAGGTCTTACGGTTTTCCAGGGAAAAAAGAAAATATTTTGGATTTTGATTCCATCAAGCAGATATTAATAAATCTCCTGGGGCTAACCAAACGGATTAAGATTCAGAAGAACTGAATTGAAAAGCAGCATTTCTGTGCCTGGCTTATTTCACTTTACATAACCTCCTTTAGGTTCATCCATGTTGTGGCAAATCACAGGATTTCCTTCTCTGTGAAGGCTGAAGAATGTTCCATTAAATACATATGCTACATTTTCTTTATTCATTTAGCTACGAATGGACATAGGCTGATTCCACATCTCAGCTATTGTGAATAATGTTGCAGTGAACATAGGAGTGCAGAAATCTTTTCAACATACTGACTTCATTTCCTTTGAATATATCCTTGGTAGTAGGATTGCTGGATTTCTATGGTTGATATCTATTTTTAATTGTTTGAGGACCTTGTATACTGTTTCTCATAATGGTGTGAATTCATTTGTATGTGGAATCTTAAAAAGTTATCTCATAGAACTGGAGAGTAGAATGGTGTTTTCCAGGAGCTGAGATGAGGAAGGAGAGGTTGGGGAGCCAAAAGGATACAAAATTTCAGTTGAGAGAAATAAGTTCAAAAGATCTATTGTTCAACATAGTGGCTATAGTTAATAACACCGTATTCTATGCTTGAAAAATGCCCAAAACGTGGATGTTAAGTATTCTAGCCACAAAAATAATAACTATATGAGGTAACATATGTTTACCAGCTGAATTTAGTCATTGTACAATGTGAATATGCTACAAAATATCATGTTGTATATGGTAAATATAGTTTTATCTGTCAATAAATTAACAAAAAGAAAAGCAGCTTGTTTATACTTTACCTCATAATTTCTTTTTTGAGACAGGCACTGACTCTGTTACCCAGGCTGGAGTTCAATGGTATAATCATAGCTCACTGGAACCTCAAGTTCCTGGCCTCAAGCAATGCTCCCTCCTCAAGTAACTAGGACTATAGGCTTTGCCAGCATGCCTTATTTATTTATTTATAGACAAGGGACTTGCTATGTTACCCAGGCTGGCCTCAAACCCCTGGCCTCAGGTGATCTTCCTGCCTCAGCCTCCCAATACTAGGATCACAGGCATGAGCCAACACCCAGTCAAGAATGTATTTTTTTAACTTATGATTTTTAAATGAATTATTTGGAAATAGATTGTATTAAGACTTCCTAGGATGGGAGAAGCTTCTGCATAATTTTTGAATCACTAAATAAATATTTCCTTTTTTAAAAACCTCTCCGGTAGCCTTTTTGATGATGCTAAGTGACATTAGTGGGTGGTATATGCTTTTCTATCCAAATTGCTCAAGGCTATTCTCTTTTTATGTATATTGACTAAGCATAAACACCTCTTTTTAAATATATTCAGGACTCATAGTCAGAATATAAGGAAGTAATAGAAATTAATAGAAAAAGGTAAGCAATGCAATGTTAAAAATAGGCAAGATAACTGTAGAAAACTTCCCAAAAAAGGATATTCCAATGACTAAAAATACATTAAATAATGCCCTACTTCACCAATAATTAATAATCAGAAAAATGAAAATTAATCAATGAAATATGAACACAGTCACTCACCAGAATGTTAAAAAATTTAAAAGACTAGTAATTCTAAGTGTTGGAAATAATTTGAGCAACTAGAAGTTGAACTGCTGATGAGAGTGTAAGTCAGTACAACTTCTTAGAAAGCAGTTTGGTGACATCATGTAAAGTTGAAAAGAACATACTGTATGATATCAATACCACTTCTGTGTATATACTCCCCCCAAAATATGTATATACATGTGCACAAAGTGACATATACAATGATACGTTATGAGCAGTAGAACAATAATATGGATACATGAATTTTGCTGCATTCATACTGAAAAAGACAAAAGCAGTCCATGAGAGCTTAGGTCTGGCCTGACACTCATAGGTAGGCCATAGTGATCTTCTGTTGAATAAAAGTGATTTCATAGGACACCAGTATCAGACAGGGCCACTCTATGACTATGATGGAACAAGAGGGAAACGAGAGCACACTGTAAGTGTGTCTAAATACAGACAAAAAGAGTATTGTCCACTCCACAAAAATGCCCAAATATCTTTCTGTCCTGGCTAATATTAGTCACTATAGCTTATTTACCAATCAACCAATCACAGCATTAGCCTCACTCCATTCCTCGTATCTTCTGCATAAAAACTGTCAATATATTCAGCATAGAATTAACTCCACTTATGACGGCATCCAATCTGGAGCACCCTGCTTCAAACCTCCCCCAAATCTTCTAACACAAAACCAAGTATGTGTTCTTTCTAACATTCCTTCACTGAGACTCTCCATGATTCCCTATGGTATGCAGTTTCCCTTGTTGCAGTAAGTCAGTAAATATAACTTTGTTCAACTACAGGTGTGTCTCTGATGGTCTCTAGCTAAAGAGCATTGACAATATCCTGGAATTCCATACAGTAATGGCAATAAATGAACTAGAGCTAAAGATAACACCAATCTCACATTGAGCTAAATAATGACGGAAAGAAACAAAATTCAAAGGATTACCTGCTGTACACTTACTTGATATATAGTTTTATTTTATTTTTACTCATACTCAAGTAAGATATATAGCTTTCTTTTTTTTTTTTTTTTTTGAGACGGAGTTTCGCTCTTGTTACCAAGGCTGGAGTGCAATGGCGTGATCTCGGCTCACCACACCTCTGCCTCCTGGGTTCAGGCAATTCTCCTGCCTCAGCCTCCTGAATAGCTGGGATTACAGGCACACGCCACTATGCCCAGCTAATTTTTTGTATTTTTCGTAGAGACGGGGTTTCACCATGTTGACCAGGATGGTCTCGATCTCTTGACCTCATGATCCATCAGCCTCGGCCTCCCAAAGTGCTGGAATTACAGGCTTGAGTCACCGTGCCTGGCTGATATATAGCTTTCAAAAGAGGCAAAACTAAAACTAAAACTGTTTAAGGATGCACACTTAAGCCAGGTGTTAAAATATCTAACAGAGATTGAGAGATTCATTAACTCCCTCATGTCATAATGTAATGAATCTTGTGTACCCTTTCTGTTTTCATTCATTTTTTTTTCCTGTTAGAAACCATAATTTAAATTTCTCTTAAGTAGCTGTGATTGTATAGCACCTGGGACATAAAATATTGAGCACAAATGGGAAATCAAACTCTGGGTAATGAGCATGAGACAGTATCAGAAGACAAGTTCTAGTTCTTACATTGCCATGAATAGCTGTGTGAACTGGGCAAGTGACTTTATCACTTGGGGCCTTAGTTTCTTCATCTGTATTTTTAAAAAGTGGAGGGTGGGTGAGAAGGAGACTGGATCTCATTTTTCCAAAATGCCTTATCATTCTTCAACATTCTGTGATCGTAAAGGAAACTCTCAACAAATATCTCCTATATTTCTATTAGGCACAATTCTATTGAGAATGACACAATTCTCAATATGTGTAAGCAATCTTATTTTAGATCCTTTAAAATCCAAAACCAAATATTTGTCTTCATTTGATTTATTCATTATATAATCCAGGAAGCAGAGTAGTGTGCTGTTTAACAGCATACACTTGGGAATCAGAAAAAATTAAATTGAGTTTTATTTCTAATATTTGCTAGGTAGGGGACCTTGACAGAATCGCACTTATCCTTTGTTTTTTTTTTTTTTTAATGTCTACATCATACAGTTGTTGCAAGTATTAAATAATGCCTGTAAATCACTTGTCATAGTGTCAGTACATAGAAATCACATCCAACAAATGGTACTGCCATTATAATCATAGGTGACAAGTCGGCTGCTTCCTTTGTGCACATGTATACACATATTTTGGAGGGGAGCATATACGTAGAAGTAGCATTGAAAGCATAGCGCAAATCAAGAGGCCAGTTGGCTTAGTCCTCTGTCAGTGTACCTACTGGACCTCAAGTTTCTGAAGGAGAATGTCTGTCTGTTCCCTTTCCTTTTCCTACTGACCACTTCCTCTGCGTTCTCCTGCTCCCTCCCTCATATATGTGGCTTGGGCTTCCGAAGACCCTACAGGATTCTTGTGCTTCTTTCTTGGTTTGTGGATGGACTGCAGAGAGCGCAGATGTAACTTAAACTTGTTGCTCTTTGCCCACTGCTTCAGTGGCTCCAGACGGTTAGCAGATAGAATGACTTCAGCTTGAACAACTAATCTCATTGGTTTCTCAATTCCCAAAGGCTTTATTTTTCTGTAAAGGGAATTAACAGGAGAGACTGTTGTTGCTTTGGCAACAGACTTTCAACCTCTACCCAACTCTCCGGAATGAGAACATATCTATTAATACATTAGCTAGACTAGGGAGTTGAGTCGCTCAATGCAAATTTTCTTTCAAGTGCAAAACAGCTTAACCGGCTCGGCTAGGCTTTGGGGGTGCTGCGGTTAGAAGCTAGTGAAGCAGAGAGCAGCTGTTGCAGTAACCTGTTGGAGCAAAGTGAAAGTATATCTGCAACAGCTGGCTTCGATTGCAGAGAGCGCGCTTGTGAGAACCGATGGCGGGTGCGCGCAGAAAATCTTTGCAAAGCAGGCAAGTGGGATCTCTTCTCATTTTTCTGTGCCTATTTGTGGGGGGTGCGACAACTATCCGCTATTCAGTGGCAGAGGAAATGGAGAGCGGCTCGTTTGTGGCCAACGTAGCTAAGGACCTAGGACTGGAGGTAGGGAAGCTGGCCGCGCGCGGGGCGCGGCTGGTTTCCGACAGCAACAAAATGCATTTCCGGCTCCACCGCAAGACCGGAGATTTGTTCGTGAAGGAGAAACTGGACCGGGAGTCACTTTGTGGCAAAGCCGACCCGTGCGTTCTGCGCTTTGAAATAGTCCTGGTGGAGCCTCTGCAGTCCTTCCGTGCCGAGGTCAGGGTATTTGATATCAATGACAATGCCCCAGTTTTCCTAAACAAGGAGCCTCTTTTAAAGATTCCAGAGAGCACTCCCTTGGGTTCACGTTTTCCTCTGCAGAGCGCCCAGGATCTGGACGTGGGCCTCAACGGCCTCCAAAACTACACCCTGAGTGCCAACGCATATTTCCACCTGCACACCCGCTTCCGCAGCCACGGGCCTAAATATGCTGAGCTGGTGCTGAACAAACCCCTGGACCGAGAGGAGCAGCCTGAAGTCAACCTGACGATTACGGCGGTAGACGGCGGGTCTCCGCCCAAGTCTGGCACCGCTCACATCCGCGTGGTGGTTCTGGACGTTAACGACCACGTGCCCCAGTTCTCGCGACCGGTGTATCGAGCCCAGGTCCCAGAGAACAGCCCCAATGGCTCTTTGGTGGCCATGGTGACTGCCATGGACCTAGACGAGGGCACCAACAAAGCAATAACTTACTCTTTAGCTCAAAACCCAGAAGCAATTCTCCAGACGTTTCAGATGGACTCTCAAACTGGAGAGGTTCGACTAAGAGGACCTCTAGATTTTGAAGCCGTTGAAACATACGACATTGACGTTCAAGCTACAGATGGTGGAGGCCTTTCCACCCATAGCAAAGTCCTGGTAGAAGTGGTGGATGTTAATGACAATCCTCCCGAAGTGATGGTCTCCTCTGTGTCCAGCCCGCTCCCTGAGGACTCACCACCACAGACAGTAGTAGCCCTTTTCACTATCAGAGACCGGGACATTCGAATGGGAGGAAAAGTCGCCTGCTTCCTCAGAAGAGATCTTCCCTTTGCAGTCAAACATACATTTGGGAATTCTTACTCGCTGGTCACTGATAGAAGCTTGGATCGGGAGGAGGTCTCAGGCTATAATATCACCCTTGTTGCCAAGGATACTGGACCACCTAGCTTGTCCACTGAGACTGTGATAGAGGTGCTAATATCTGATGTTAATGACAATCCTCCAGTATTTCGGGAAGATTCCTATATCTTGACTGTTCGAGAAAACAATAGTCCTGCAGTTTTTATTGGCAAAGTCCATGCTGAGGATCTTGATTTGGGTGAAAATGCCCAAATAGCATATTCTCTGTTGCCTCCAAAAAGTGGAGATCTATCAGTCTTTGCTTACATCTCCATAAATTCAGAAAATGGGAAGCTCTATGCACTGAGAACCATGGATTATGAGGCTATTCAAGATTTTCAGTTTGTGGTAAAGGCCACTGATGGGGGCTTCTTGCCACTGAGTAGCCAAGTTACTGTCAGAGTGGTTGTCCTAGATGATAATGACAATCGTCCATTGATCTTGTACCCACTGCAGAATGGCACCTTGCCCTGCAATGACCTGGTGCCCAGGTCTGCAGAGGCAGGCTACCTGGTGACCAAAGTGGTGGCTGTGGATGGTGACTCAGGTGAGAATTCTTGGCTTTCATATCATCTACTTAAGGCCACTGACCTTGGGTTATTTTCTGTTCAAAGACAAAATGGAGAAATCCATATGTTACGGCAGATATCTGAGAGAGACCCCATGATGCATAAATTGATCATTCTTGTTCAGGATCATGGCCAACCAGCTCTTTCCACTACTGTCTCACTCAATATCCTGCTGGTAGATGGCTTTTCAGAGCCCTACCTGCAGTTCCAGGATCCATCCAAGCATTCTACAAAGGTAAATCCATCCACTAAATATTTGGTCATTTCTCTGGCCATCCTTTCCTTTCTTTTTCTCCTCTCGGTCACAGTGATCTTCATTATACATGTCTACCAAAAGATTAAATGTAGAGAAAAGTTCACAATTCAAGAGCATTTCTCTGATGACTGTAATTTCTCTAACAATCTGGTACAAGGACAAGGCAATGGATCCTTATCCTGGCCTTGTCCCTATGAAATGTGTTCAGCCACTGGCACTGGCAATAGCGAGTTTCGCTTTCTTAAGCACTTTATGCCCAACTTCCCTTTCCCTCATGCCACTGGAGAGATAAAAACAGAGGCTGCCTCCAGTTTACCTCCAAATTCTGACAGGAGTAAGCCTCAGAGATCAGCGGACCTTGACCAGGTATCTGATGACTATATGTAGCTCCTATTTACAGCTCTCAGTGAGAGAAGAGAAGCAGAATTTTACACTTGACATGCAAAGATGTTTCATGTTCATTGAAACAAAAACTGGTAGTAGATTGCAGCTTTAGTAAAGATAAGAATACCTAGTTTGGTGAAAATGTGAAAACCAGAGCGAGGCTTGGCTTACTCCATACAAAACAGTTATCCCAATCCCCAGATTGTATATCTGTAATCCTTTCTGCAGTTGGAATTCTGTTTAAAGAAATGTCACCCTCTATAAATGCATATGTGGTGGGAATGTCTGCTTTTCCATCTCTGTGCTAGCAAGTAATGAATGAGCCATTATTCACATTTCCCCTAGAAGTTTGTTGGTCCTGACCCAGGAAATGCTTAGTTCCATAGAGAAATCCTTTCATTTGCCTCTAAATTATTTTCCGGTAGAAAGTTATGCATGCATAAGGAAGAGAACTACCTTCCCTTTTTGATATATTGGGAAGTGATTAGGTTTGACAAGCAGAGATGTAATTTATTATTCAGAAATCTCTAAATTCTTGCCCCTGATAAGGCATTATCTTTAATCAATACCTTGCCTACAATCATTCATAATCAGAATCATAGAAATGCCTGACATATGGTGGTCTTCCAGATTAATCATGGTGGGAGAAAGGGTGGAGAAAGAAGGATTTCACTTATTTGCAAATATGAGTAAGGGCAAATATAAGGATAAGGAGATTCAGTTTAAGAATGTTCTCCAAAATTAAGTTAGATGTAGATTTTTTAATGATTGTTTGGAGCCACAGGCGAGTCTCAAATCTCCCTCCTTCACATCCAGATGTCTATCTTTGCAGTCCCAGAGAGAAGCTATTTGAATAAAGGGAAATGGAGGATGGATGAGGATAATAATAAATTAGGCTGGCCATGGTGGCTCACGTCTGCAATCCCAGCTCTTTGGGAGGCCAAGGCAGGTGGATCACCTGAGGTCAGGAGCTTGAGACCAGCCTGGCCAACGGAATGAAACCCAGTCTCTACTAAAAATACAAAAATTAGTCAGGCGGTGGTGGCACATACCTGTAATCCCAGATACTTGAAGGCTGAGGCTGGAGAATTGCTTGAACCCAGGAAGTGGAGGTTGCAGTGAGCTGAGAGTGTGCCACTGCGCTCCAGCCTGGGCAACAGAGTGAGACATTCTCTTAATTAATTAATTAGGCCTGCTATAGTTAATAGTAAATGTTACAGAACACTCTAAACTATTTTGTGCCATTAATTGTTAGACAACATTTATTGTAAACCATTTTGTAATCTGTAGGGCAAATACAAATAAAAACATTAAAATTAAAAAGTTCATTACTAATAATTAAGTGGCATTGAGGAAAGATACATATTCGGGTAGTACCAGATTTGATTGTAAGCCATTTTCTTCACTGAGTAATCTGAAGTTAACACATGCAAAGTGAGAAAAAGTGGCATTTTTAGTAAATAATTCATAAAATGAAATGGAGTGAGGAGACAAGTTAGGCTTCTCTTTGGTCACCACTGCTTTGCTTTCATAAGCTATTCTGCTTCCTCTTATTCTAAAGTAAGCCAATGTTAAAATATTAACATATTTCAGGGATTTTCCGGATACTACTAGCTGTCCCTTGAAAGTCAAAAATTTGCTTTAGAGAAGGGCATGGTGGCTCATACCTGTAGCCCCAGCTACTTGGAAGTCTGAAGGAGTAGGACTGCTTGAACCCAGGAGTTCAGGGGTGCAGTAAGCTATGATTGCCTGCTGCACTCCAGCCTGGGTGATAGAGTGAGACCTCATTTCAAAAAAAAAATGTGTGCTTTAATGAGGCTTTAATTATGTGCCTTATTTTATACAAATGTGTGTAAATTCTGACTCACTAAAATACATCCTCTTCCTTCCTGCATAGAAGGGCATAATATTTGTACCTGGAATTCTCAGTGTAGGGCATTATCTCTTAAAATATTTACCAAATATTCCAAATCATATTTACTGATATAAACTTCATTCTTGGTCTTATGACTGATACCTAATGGCACCAACTGGCTGTTTACCTGTTGGCCAGGAATATCCTAAAATTTAGTGCTGATATTTTTTATTTTATTTATTTATTTATTTTTTTTGAGATGGAGTCTTGCTCTGTCACCCAGGCTGGAGTGCAGCTCACTGCAACCTCCACCTCCTGCGTTCAAGCAATTCTTCTGCCTCAGCCTCCTGAGTAGCTGGGACTACAGGCGCCCACCACCATGCCCGGCTAATTTTTGTATTTTTTGTAGAAACAGGGTTTCACCATAGTGGCCAGGCTGGTCTTGAACCTCTGGCCTTCTGATCCATGCACCTCAACCTCCTTCAAAGTGCTGGGATTAAAGGCGTGAGCCACCACACCTGGCATAGTGTTATTTTTTTTTTAAATGTTGTAGAAGCTTAGGGCAGAACTAGTGTAACCTATGGCTACCTTCAATGTTTTATTTGATATTTTAAGAACAGATGAAGCAAATGCACGATATCAATAAATTGCTTTTATTTTTAATATTAAGTATTTTACATACATTGAGTTATGATTCTGCTGATTTAGAGTAAAGGTCTTCTTACACAAAACACAGAATAGTGTTCCAGTATATTTGGGCTCCAATAGGTGAAGATATGCTGAAATTTCTATTTCCCTTAAAGGAGAAAAGAGAATATTTATTTATTTATTCATTTATTTATTTATTGGAGATGGAGTCTTGCTTTGTCATCCAGGCTGGAGTATAGTGCCATGATCTTGGCTCACTACATCCTCCATCTCCTGGATTTAAGTGATCCTCCTGCCTCAGCCTCCTGAGTACTGGGACTACAGATGTGCATTACCATGCCCAGCTAATTTTTGTATTTTTAGTAGAGAAAGGGCTTCACCATGTTGGCATTTCACTATATTGGCCAGGCTGGTCTCAAGCTCCTGACCTCAGGTGATCCACCTTCCTTGGCCTCCCAATGTGTTGGGATTATAGGAGTAAGCCTCCATGCCTAGCCTAGAATTAGTTTTTATAGGTAAGCAATAATTAGTTAATAAAACATGATTAAGTAAAAGCTACTGGGTTAACTGTGTTTCATTACACTTAATGATGTGAACTTAATCAATGAAGTCTGGCTTAATGTCAAGGACAGGGAAAGAAAATGATGTAGATTTGTGATTTTAGGACTTTGAATTTCAAATAGCAGTGAAGTTCATGAATACACATATATACACACACACAATGGACAGAAGATGTAGATTTGTCAACTTTTTATATTTTCACATTAAATGAAATGAAATCTACCACTTCACACTACCATTATTCCATAAAGAAAATGTCACATTAATATAAAAGTGGTAAGATAATAATCTCGTAGAAGAAACTATCCTTTAAATTTTAAAAATATCGATTTAATGAAAAATTTATTTTACCATAATTTTCTTATTTTTGCCTCTGACAGGTGAAAATTTTGTCACTCTAATCTCATTTTATTCAGACTTCAAGTTCCCAAGAAAATTCCAATCCTATGTGATAACTTAAAATTAAGAATATATCAATTCTTAATTGATATATGAAGAATTATATCAATGTGAGATAAGCCATTTGTGTTAGGAGAGAACCCTACACACCAGCTGAGATTAAGTCCAAGTCTCCATCAGCAAATTAAGACAAAGAATGGAAATAATCAGGACAATTACTCTCCCCAAAGTGTCAAGTGATATAAGAACTATTTATATGTATTCAAATCTATAAAACCTTGAAAAGTGTCTTGTACAAAAAGACGTTTTATTAGAAAATAATTATAAACTTATAAAATTGCAAAAATACTATAGATAGTTCCTGTGTATCCTTGCATAACCTGAATGCTAACATCTTGCATAACCATAGTAGTTAACCAAATTTAACCTTGGTTTAGTTCTATTAAGTAAACTACAGATCTTATTCATATTTTACCAGTTTCCCCCCAATGTTCTTTTTTTTATTTAAGCATCCAGTTCGGGATCCTGCAAAGCGTTTGTTACACCTCCTTAGTCTCTATCACCTGTGACAGTTCCTTACTCCTACCTTGTCTATCATGACTTGAGATTTTTGAAGAATACTAGCCAGTTATTTGTAGAATGTTCCTCAGTTTGAGATTCTTTGTTTTCTCATTATTAAACTGAGGTTATGCATTATTGGGAAATATACTGCAGAAATGATATTGTGTCTTTTTCAGTGCATCATGTCAGCCAGTATGTGGTGCCAATGTCATACTACTGGTGATATTAATATTTTTTTCTTTTATTGTGGTTAAGAATTTATAAAATGTACCATGTTAGCCATTTTTAAGTATGTTAGCCATTTTTCAGTAATGTTAAGGTCATGTTAATTTTGATTGCTTGGTTAACATAATGTCTGCCACATTGCTCAACTATACTTTTATCTCTTTGTAATTAATAAATAATTGGGGGAATATACTTTGAAACTATGCAAATATGTTTTTACTTAAATCAATTTTAGTATTTATTGCCAAATATTTCCTGTGGCAATTAATAGTGTGGCATTCTAATGGTGATTTTCTATTTCTCAAATTCCTTTTACATTAATTAAAATTCTTCTGGAAGGAACACTTGTTACGTCTCCCCCAGCTGATTTAGTTAGTTGTTTCTTTATGTAAGGACACCTGGATATCTCCTCTATTATTTGGGTTATAAACCAATCCTATCATTTATTTTGTTGTTCAGCAAACTCTTTATTCTGAGATGTAGAGCAGATTTTTAAGACTGAAATTATCCATATAGAATACATTTTTATCAAAATTAGCATTTCTTTGTAACTCTACATGTTAGATTATTTTAAACAATCACAAATTAATACCATTAAGGTTTATTCCTGTTTTAATTTTAAATGAAAATTATATTAACATAATTTAAAATTTTAATTAGTCATAAATTAAAAAATCTGTATAAACAAAATTTTAAAATTTATTATGCAGGCATGTTTATATGTTTTGAACTGTATATAGAGTCACTATTTTAAAATAGACTTATATGCTGAAATTAGACTTAAAGATATACAAGAAATGGAATTGGTCTAATTTTATGTAATTCCCCCCAAAATAAACAATTTCTTTATCACGTCTGTGTTTTTGTTGTTTTCCATTTACTGATGAATTTGTCTTTTTCTTGGAAGCATAATTCATTCATATGATTCTCTCATATCTGTAGTTGATGAGTTTAATATCTTCAAAGTACTAAAGATACTAATTGTACACTCATTCTTCAACCAAAAGTTTGACTTGATTCTCAAATATATGTAACACTTTTACAAAATATTATTAAAGCATTTGTTGTATTTATATAACACTGAAACAGGCTGGGTGTGGTGGGTGATGCCTGTGGTTCCAGCTAATTGGGAGGCTGAGGCACGAGAATTGCTTGAACCTGGGAAGCAGAGATTGCAGTGAGCTGAGATCACACCACTGTGCTCTAGCCTGGGCAACAGAGTGAGACTAGGTCTCAAAAAAACAAACAACAACAACAACAACAAAAAACAAACAAACAAACAAAAAACCTCATTGAAACAGAATGTTAAAAAGTGAAAGTAACAAAGGTTTTCTGCTCAAACTGGTGAAGTAAGTTTATGCTTCTGTGTATCATGCTCTACTCTAAACACAGCAATAAGAGGTAAAAATTAAAAATAAAAAAAAAATGTGGCCAGGTGCAGTGGTTCACACCTGTAATCATAGCACTTTGGGAGGCCAAGGTGGGAAGATCATCTGAGGTCAGGAGTTCAAGACCAGTCTGACCAATATGATGAAACAGTGTCTCTACTAAAAATACAAAAATTAGCCAGGTGTGGTGGCATGCACCTGTAATGTCAGCTACTCGGAAGGCTGAGACAGGAGAATTGCTTGAATCTGGAAGGCGGAGGTTGCAATGAGCCGAGATCAGGCTATTGCACTCCAGCCTGGGCAACAAGAGCAAAACTCCGCCATCTTAGGAAAAAAAAAAAAAAAAAAGCAAGGCGGGGCATGGTGGCTCATGCCTATAATCCCAGCACTTTGGGAAGCAGAGGTGGGTGGAACACCTGAGGTCAGGAGTTCAAGACCAGCCTTGCCAACATGGTGAAACCCCATCTCTACCAAAATATAAAAATTAGCTGGGCATGGTGGCACATGTCTGTAATCCCAGCTACTCAGGAGGCTGAAACATGATAATCGCTTGAAGTTGGGAGGCAGAAGTTGCAGTGAGCCAAGATTTCACCACTGCACTCCAGCCTGAGCGACAGAACAGGACTCCAGAAATGGAACAGAGACATAAAATGGTGAGCAGGGATAAAATCCTTGGATTTCCAAGCTATCAGGGTGGGAAATTGGCATTGGCTACCATTAGTTTGGCTCTTATGGGCTCTCAGGAACAAAATGTTCACCATGAAAAATGGAGAATAAAAGCCAGTGTCATTGCTTAGAGCCAAGAGGTAGGATGCGTCAAGATAAGTTGAAAAGCCATTGCCAAAAAATTCCTGACGCTACACATTATAGCATTTGTAGGCCCAAGAGGGCTGGAGGACACAGACACAACATCCAGAATATGTACTGGGCTTTGTAGCCACCAGACTAAATGTAGTCATCTGTACTATTTCCAGCATCATGTTGGGTCAGAAGCCCAAACCTGATTCTAGACTATGTCCAGGGTCTAGGAAATGGATGTAGGTAGGGAGAGGAATGAAAAGGAAGACATTTTCAAAAAAGTGTCATTCAAAATAAAACCATTTAAGATGCTTACAGAGATGAATTTAGAAGTTATGCCCACAAAAGATAGTAAATTATGAAATAAACACAAAAGACTAAAATAAAATAAGAATGGATTCATATAAGTATAGTCAACGAGAAATTTTAGAAATGAAACTTTTTCACTGGAATAAAACCTCAATGATGGTATAAACTTTAGTCTGGAAGCTAAAGAAGACTAAGTTAATAAATCGATATGTAACTATGGAATTATATATGGACACATGGATATTTACTTTATTATTTGGCTTATAATCCAATTGTATCATTTATTTTGTTGTTCAGTAAACCCTTTTATCTGAGATAAAGAAATTTTTAAAAAATCTGCCTAATAACACAGAACAAAAATAAAAATTACAGAAGAGTATTTAAAAGACGTTATCTAGGCCTATTGTGGTGACTCACACCTGTAATCCTATTTTGGGAACCCGAGTCAGGCAGATCACGAGGTAAGGAGATCGAGACCATCTTGGCCAACATGGTGAAACCCTGTCTCTATTGAAATACAAAAAATTAGCCAAGCATGGTGGCAGGCACCTGTAGTCTCAGTTACTTGGGAGGCTGAGGCAAGGGAATCGCTTGAACCCAAGTGGCGGAGGTTGTAGTGAGCTGAGATCATGCCACTGCCCTCCAGCTAGGTGACAGAACAAGACTCCATCTCAAAAAATAAATAAATAAATAAAAGATGTTAGCTATTGTGATAAATCACACTGAAACTTGAAGGCATAAAACAGACATATTAAGCTCATGAACTTCATGGACCAAGGATTCAGACAAGGCCCAATGGGGATGAACTGTCTCTGCTCTATGATGCCTGAGGCCTCAGCTAGAAAGGCTTAAAGGCTGGGAGTGACATAGTGGCTGCAAGCTAGTATCATTTGGAGATGACTTCTCTTCTATGTTTGATGCTGGCAGTTAACCAGAATACTTGGATGTGTCCTGTCTATGCAGTCTGGGATTCTTTAAAACATGGTACGTTGGTCACAAGAGCAAGTATCACTTTCACCATACTTTCCACTGGTCAAGCAGTCATAGAGATCAAATTCAAGATGAGGGAGCATTTGTCCTACCTCTTGAATAAAGGAGTGGTAAAGAATTTGTGGAACAGGTTTTAGAGCTGCCACAGGAGACATGGAAAATAGATGAAAAACTCTAATATAGGTCCCTGAGATGTTCCAGAAGAAGAATAGAGGAAATGGCAGAGAAGAGAAATATATTGATTCTGGTTCTTGCCAAGATGATAGATTAGCATAGGTTATGGATACTACAAGAGTAGTAACAGAGAAATCATACACTGAAACATTACAGAATTTAGGTGGTTGGGCACAGTGGCGGATATCTGTAATCCTAGTACTCTGGGAGGCCAAGGTGGGTGGATCACATGATGCCAGGAGTTTGAGACCAGCCTGGCCAACATGGCAAAACCTCATCTCTACTAAAAATACAAAAATTAGCCAGGTGTAGTGGTACACACCTGTAAGCGCAGCTACTCAGGAGGCTGAAGCATGAGAATCACTTGAACCCGGAAGGTGGAGGTTGCAGTGAGCTGAGATTGTGACACTGCACTCCAGCATAGGTAACAGAGCAAGACTCTTTTAAAGGGAGAGAGAAAGAGAGAGAGAGAGAGAGAGAGAGAGAGAGAGAGAGAGAGAGAGACTGACTTAGATAAGATACTTAGGAAATAATGGAAAAACCCTAAGAAGCTTTTGAGGAGGCTGGAGTCTGTTTATACTGGCATGTTAAGGCTTAGTGGTGGCTGCAGCCTGGGGAGGAGGCAAGCCGTCATGTCTGTGGTATGATATATTTAAAAATAAATCTCCTATTCTCACAGGACAGTGATTTCCTGCCTTCTCACTGGAAGTAAGTGGCAACAGTTCAGATTGCTGGTGTAGTTTTCATCAGGGGTGAAAGTCAAAGCAATTAAAAAAATCTGCTTGGGTCAAAATTTATATTAATTAATTGTAGGTGAACTAGCCTTGGACATTCACCCTCTCCCCTTTCCCTCACCCCAAATCCCATTGTTGGTAAATTATAATTTACAGTAACTTTTTCATATAATGCTTTTTCCTGAAAAAAAAGTGAATGGAAGGTGAAATCCAAACCTGAAGAATTGCTTGATTAGGGGGCTACAAGACAGTAGTGATTAACTGGAATTCCCTGGCATTTAGGAAATTCCACCATAGACTGCATCCTCTCCCTTGCTCTCTATCGCATCTTGGTTGACAAGGACTAGATCTGGCCCGTGTCTCTTCTTCATACACATTATCGAAAAAATAGCTGATAATATTGGCTCAAAATAGGTAGGTATATTTGAAAGTATAACTACTTAGGTACAGTAGTTATATTTGAAAATATATGTACTTAAACTTATACTGTTACTATCAGAACTGAGTTATTATTACTGTTAAACTAAGAATTTGAAAGTAAGCATAATAAACTTAAGGAAGGAAATAAGTTATACAAAATAACAACTGCAAACCGTTTAAAGAATAAAGTGAAAATAGGCATAAAACTGTAACTGTTGAAGCAAAGTATATAATAGACTAGATAATAGAAAAGATAAAGCTGAAGAACTACTTAGTGAATTAAATATCACATTGAAAAATTCTCTCAGAAGGATGTAGGAAAAAAAAATAATTAGAAGACATATAATCACAGTTAAGAGATATAGAGGCTAAAAGTAGTAATGCACAAACATTGGTGTCCCAGAAGAACAGAAATACAAAAATGGAGAAAATGCTTTTTGAAGGAATTATAGAAAGAAATGTCTAAGAATTAAATAATAATGAAAGAAAGCCTCTGATTGAAAGGCTTATAGAGTAGTAAACAAGACAAAGCCATGCCTAGACAAACTGTGGTGAAATTTAAGAATAATAATGACAAAGAGAAAGAATATATTATGTAAAATAAAACAAGATCAAACTGACGACAGACTTCTTATTAGCAATGCTGGATGCAAGCAATACATGGTATTGGTTCTTGGAAAAGACCAGCAAATTAGAAAAAGAATAGCTGATGGCTGTGTACCATTAACATCCAAGAGAACTACCAGGAAATTTCAGTGCTATGTGGCAAATACTCAGCCAATTTATACTATGGATATTTTCAGAAATATATTATTTTTTTACAGATCTTCATGTGAAGGATGCTGGAGTAAAATTTCTTAGAACTGATCATGTTGTCACTACTTGCCTTACACTGAAGCACTTCCTGAAATAGATTTCACCTCTTTAAGAATCATAATCCCAGCATTCTGGGATCAAAGGCAAATGCCTTGCAGATATTACACAAATAAATTTAAAACATAGTTAAGAAAAAGAATGTGAGCATAGGTCTTAATAAGTT